GGTGGGCTCTAATTCCTTGTAACCTCCTGGTTTAGGTTCTAAAAAAAGGTACCCGTGGTGCCCCCTTGGGCTTGTCAGACCCTCAGTTCTAAACCCATTACAAGCTTATGTGGACTAAGTTAAACTCGAGATGACACATTCTCTTATGTCTATACGGAGAATAAATTCCCATGAAGACATAAGATATATGAATCCCGAAGGTTACTTGCTAGGCCTATACGAAGAATAAATTCCCACGAAGGTGTCACTTTCACCTCCATTTATAAAAGGGTTTGGAGCTCGGGTATAGAGCATGAGATGAATTTTAAAAAGATGAAATCATTGAAATAACGTAAATATAACTATTTAAAAAAATAATCAAAGATAAATAATAAGGATCAAATAAATGAATTAAAATTTAAACTTATACTTTTCGCTTAAAAAGACAACTGAAAATTAATTTTAGCCTGACTCACTTACCTGTCCCCAGCGGAGTCGCCAAACTGTCGTAATCGTCCTTCAGGAGGGCCCGAAATTGAATTTCGACTTAAATAAATGTGTCAGAGTCGCCACCGATCATTTATTTTAAAAATAAAAAATTAGGTTGACCAGACACCTCGATTTATCCTCTTACATGATCTGCATTTTACCAGAAATATGTCAGGTTCGGAATTCGGTTACAGTCAATGAATGATTGGCATCCTTGTACTGCCTTTTCGGTACAAATTTAATTTATTATTTGTCTTAATAATTAAAAGTTAAATTAAAAATTAAAATTCGATCCAAATTATTTACCTTTGATCGATTAAAAGTATCCTAAACAATGTCAAAAAGATGTTAAATTGAAAAATAAAATATTGAGTGGGTTAGAAAGAAGAATCAATAAAAGGTTAAAATTTGACGTTTAAATGGACACAATAAAATGATTGTAAGCGAATACTGGTTAGAAGGTTATCTTAATTAATCAAACTAATCAACATAAATGTCGAAATGCAAATTGAATACAAGGAATATTACCAAAAGTGAAAAACACAATCAAAGTGAAATCGGAAAAGACAAGAGCATGGTCACACAAGTTTCCCAGTGCAAATCAAATAAAATAAATGGTCGGTTTTAGTGCAATTAAGTCTCTTTCAATGGGAAGTTAAATATCGAGTACAAGATCAGCGAAAAGGTTCAAATTTACGGAAATTGAAATGAAGAGAAAAAACATAAACAAATGAGTAAATAGAATGAAAAAACAAATGAGTAAATAGAATGAAAAAACAAATGAGTAAATAAAAATAACAATGAAAAAACAAATGAGTAAATAAAAATAACAATGAAAAAACAAATGAGTAAATAAATAAATAAAAATAAAGGGCAGATTTCAGAAGTTAATAGAATGACAGAAAAGACGTGAGAAATAGTTCGAAGGTTAAAAGGTTTTAAAATAAATAAAATAAATGTGTACGAAATCACAAAAAAATAAAATTAGGAAGGTCCAAATCAAAATAAATAACGGTAAAATCGAGTAAAATGACCAAAATGAGTTTCCAAGCAAATTTATAGGTATGGATAAAAGAATTAGACCATACCCATTAGAAAAACACGCAGATCCTAGGGTCTCCAAATGGGTCCTCGGGTCGAGTATAAAGCTCAACATGCATAAACAAATTTCATTTTCTTGTCTCCCTCAAAAAATGATCAAAAGCCTTTTATTTTTTTTCTCTTAAATGTTCTTCATGTTCTTCAACATATGAAGAACATTCAACCGGAGTTTATGGGGAAACCCATATTCCGGCCATGCTCCGCCTCGCCGGCCACCATTCATCGGTGGTGAAATAGGGCATTTTTTACGCCTTTGGAAAGTTCTCATCCTCCTCTTTCCAAATCCCACCACCATTTTCAATGAAAAGCCTCGAGGAGAGCATGATCTAAAAAGATCTTTCGCAAACCCCCTTCTGATCATCGGCTCTTCTCCAACAGTGGGTTTTTCAAATCAAAAAAAGAAAGGAAAAAAATAAAATAAATACCCAAACATGCAACCATGCAAGCCGAATAGAGAAAGGTAAAAAAAATACCTAGTATATTGACGTTTGTTTTTAGATTACAAGTGTGGTTTGCTTCCAATCTAACCTATTTTTGTTTTAACTTCGCTTGGATTTATAAACTTAGGAATCCCATTGTTTCGGTTCGTTTTAGAGTCCTATCTAGACTGAAATGCTATTTTTTCTGTTTTTGGCTTGACTTTCTCGAAATCTCTAGAAGAGATTATCCACGATGATGCCGAGAATTCTGGGAAGTGGATGGTTGCTTGTTGCTGCTAGAACGAGGACTCTCCAAGAGCCCTAAAGTGCTTTCAATCTGACCGTCGGATTTCAATCTGATCCAATGGACAAGAACATGCGTCGAAATATGAAACACTATGTCTGATAAGGTCTTACAACATGGGCCTCCCATACGTTGGACTTAACTGTTGGGCCTAGTAGGGCTTGGTTGGATTGTACCTAATCATAAAAAAAAAGAATTATAAATATAGGTTTAATAATAATATGTAATATGTAATAATATATATATATATATAATGATATAATATACGTAATATAAATATAAATAATATATGTACCATATAATATAAATATAATGTATATGCATGCTATATATTATAAATATACTATATAATAAATATATAATCATATAGTATGTTTATACTATATAATATAAATATACTATAAGATATATAATATATAATAATATAATATACTATATACAAAAATTCGGACGAAAATGTATGTCTACATCCAGAAAAATGTCTAGTGCAACAAATTCATTAAATTTTTAACAGTAGGTACTAAAATAAAATAAAAATAAACGTTAGATATAATTTTAAAAAAAATGAAAGTTTAAGTACTCAAATAAAATAAAACTAATAGTTTAAATATTAAACCTATAGTTTACCAAATTCATAATTTGATTTCTAAATTAGCCAACCCATTAGTCGAGTATTAACTTGGAAGCAGAGATGGAGCCCCACTCACCAAAAATTCAACTTTATCATATATTTTATATTTAAAATTATTTAAATAATTTTAAGGATAGAATATAAATTTTAATTTAACATTATTCATTAATTATTTAATTAAATAAATAATAATAATAATTTTAAAAGTTATTTAACTATTTTCTTATTTCTAAATAATATTTTAAATGATAAATTATTTAATTTTAATTTAAAATTTTTATAAGTTAAATAATAATTTTGGTATATATTAAATTAATTCTTAATTTGATTTAGTGATTAAATACTTGAATATTTTGTGAGATTTCTTAAGTTCCAATCATAGATCTAACATATTTTTTTTCAATTTATAGTGATAGTTTAGTATAAGTTAAATATATAGTGTGATATTTAGGATTAATGGTCTGCCTTAGCTTAGATGGTTGGTTCAAGTTTTTTTTAAGCTCTCTTTTGGGAGTTTAATATTAGTTTTATTTTTAGTTGAATAAAATTAATTAAATAATAATTTAAAAAAAGCTACATCAGCTTTGCCATTAAGTTTGTAACGGCGGAGTATTAAAATGAAACAAAAATTGAACATTAAAAGTTAAGGTTTTGAAAAAAATTAAAAGTTTAAATACTAAAATAGATCAAAACTGATAGTTTAATTATTAAATGCGTAGTTTACCCCAAATTAACTAATAGATGCAAATGAAAGTGTAAACTTTCTCTCGCCTCAACTTCTAAGAACAGTTCTATCAGATACTCATTTTCAAATGGGGACGGATTAATGTTTGATTCTATATTAGGGACTAATTTTTAAAATTTTAAAAAGATATAAATCTTATAAAATTTTAGGGAATAAAAACAAATTTTTAATAAAAAAACATAAAAAATTAATTTTTTTACTTATTTTCATAAATGATTGTAAATTAGAAGTTTATATTTAAATTTTAATAATTAAATAAATATAAATAATTTTAAATTGTATTTTTAAATTTTTAATTTTAAATTTTAAATAATTAAATACATATAAGCTTAAACTATTTACGATATAATACATATAATTTTTAAAAATAAATTAATATTGACTTTATAAAATATATAAATAATTATTTTTTATTTTAAATTAAAATAATAAATTATTTAATTTTAATTTAAAAATTTTATAAGTTAAATAATAATTTGTTTTGCATTAAAACAATTCTTAATATGATCTATTGATTAAATGAGTGAAATGTGTATGAAAAGACATTTTCCATGTAATATAAGAGGGCATCTGCTTACCTGATTCTAATGAAGAGATCCCTACAACGTTGTAACTTAGATGTAGGGAATGACGTAAGATTTAATACTTGGAGGAGGAAACTTTAGGGGCGAATTTATAAAATTTTAAGTAGAGGGAATTTATAAAATTTTAGAAGGACGAAAATATATTTTTAATAAAAAATATCTAAAATATATAAAACTTTTAATGGAACGACCGCCCTACCCTTCCCTTCTAGGTCCATCCCTGCTTAGAGGTGATCATGTTCATCATCATCTAATTCTAACAACAAGTTCTCATACATAATCCATTTACCTTTTTTCTTTCTTGATGTACATCCAATCCTCGTCATGACACGCAATTGAATAAAATTGTGATATAATCAGATCCGTCCATAAGCAGGTGTAAAATGTGATTCGTCATATGGTCTCAAAATTTGGAGGCCTCGCATTTTAAAAAGTATCTTGATTTTTCTTCTAAGAGGTTCGAATGATGATATTTTTAAATAAAATATCATGATTATAAAGTTGTTTTGTAATGTTTTCTTATTTTCATATTTTTGGATTTTTTATATATTAAAAAATAATTATAATATGATAAATTTTTATATTTTACAAATTCGTCTAATTATAAAATATTTTAAAGACCTCATTTGAAATGTAGCAAAGAACCCGGATATAATCCTCTTACTATACGGAAAAGAGAAAAAAGAAAGAAAGAAAAAAATACTTGTAAATAGTCTGTTCATAATTTGCAGTACGTTACCTAGTTAAGCACGTCGACACTTCTATTCTGACCGGTGGAAAGGTCCTGCTCTTTGCAATTCAAAACCATGCATTGCCTCTTATACCTTGAACTATCCTTTACAGCAATGTCCTCGTACATCTGCAAACATTACGTTGAAGTTGATGAATTTAATGGCAACGTTATAACTAGTGTCTAAAATGGAACACACAACATAAACTATTCCATTTGGAACTTGGGAAAACAAAATGATTCATGACAGATTGAGAGATGTAAAGGTATAGCATTAGTAGAGAGATGTGGCAAAAGCAGAACCTTCTTTTGTTTACGGGGAAGTTTGCACAACATTTGGCTTAGTCTTTTGCTTGCTTCACCAAAGGAAGAAGATGAAGATTTAACCGAACCACATCTGACCATTACAAAGAAAACATATTAATTGCATGGCTTGACAGGATGACATCGTCTTTGAAGCAATCTGTCGAACAGATTGTCTCCCCTTTCCCTCTTTTTCCTCTTCGAAACAGATTGTCTTCCCTTCCCCTCTTTTTCCTCTTCCGTTTCATCTTCTTACAAGACCTTGAATCCCTGCATTCCTCCGTAGAAATCCGAGGAAAACAGTAATTCACCTGAGATATAGCCCCACTCTTGAGCCTCGTCAATATAATCTTTCTCTTAGGTGGCGTTTGGTTGGATGGAATCCATTGGAATTGGAGGAATTGAAATCCAATTCCACTACTTTTTCATGTTTGATTCAAGTTTTCCAAGGGAATTGGAATATCTCATTGCTTTAACTTTCCATCAAATGAGGGAAAGTGAATTCCATCTAAGAATGGAGGGAAATGAGGGAAAGTGAATTCCATCTAAGAATAGATGGAATTCAATTCCCTTGTTGGAGGGAATTGAAATTTGATCATACTACCCTCATCAATCTTTTGGTAACTTATTCATATATTGAATAAAAATATTTTTTTTATTATTTTGGTCGGGTCGGGTCAGTTTTTTTAAGTGTGATATTCGGGTCAGGTCGAGTTCGGGTTTAGGGTGAAAAATACCCGACCCCAAAATATATATAATTTTACCTTATATATTTAGGAATAATTACAATAATACCCCTCTATATATATATATATATTTTTTTTTCAATTAAGTCACTGTTTTTATTAAATAAAAATATTTTTTTTATTATTTCGGGTCGGGTCGGGTGAAACTTTATTTTGTTCGGGTCGGGTCGGGTTTTTTTAAGTGTGATATTCGGGTCGGGGTCGGGTTCGTGTTTAGGGTGAAAAAAACCGGACCGACCCGAAACAAATATATAATTTTACCTTATATATTTAGGAATAGTTACAATAATACCCCTCTATATATAATTTTTTTCAATTAAGTCAATGTTTTTATTGAATAAAAATAATTTTTTTATTATTTTGTGTCGTGTCGGGTCGGGATTCTAATTCATATATTGAATAAAAATAGTTTTTTGTAAATTTTTGGTAACTAATTAACATACTCCGATTGGAATGTATCGAAATATTGCTATCTTTTCGTAACTTATTAACATATTTTGATTACGATGATTTTAACTTATGATGTTTATTAGTATGATTTTTATAATTTATTGAAATGAATAATCAATCGATAAAATGAAAATTTAATATTTTTAAATTTTTTATAATATATTACTACATGTAAGTTGTAAAACAAACTAAAATAAAGCAAAAAAATAAAAAAGACAATTCTGTCATTTTACATTACTGAAATCAAATTCATCTGACGTGCCTGCGAACCAAACAGAATATGGAATTCGATTTCAATTCAATTTCCTGCCAACCAAATAGAATATGGAATTAGATTTCAATTCCTGACAGATTTCAATTCCTTCACAGATTTCAATTCCCTCATAAATATTCCAGCAAACCAAACACCACCTTAGTAGTCTCAGGGTTTTCAAGACTTTGAATTTCTTCAACCCCATGGTGAGTAGTTTGGGGTGAGGAACTTGAATTATGAGAGAACATGTGATTCTCGAGGGGAAAGTGAAAGTGGGTGCCATTATTGAGAAAACATTTTCTATGATGGATATCGAATTTGAAAGAGAAGTGCAGATTCCCAGTGTAACCATCAACCTGAATGGTGTCTCCGTTAAGAAATCCAGATAATTGTAAAGGCACGGAGGAAGAAAACGGAATTTTAGGCTGTGTTGCTTCCGAATACATTAAGTGTGTTTTGATTAATAAATTAGTACCTAATCATGTTGTTTCGATAAAAGAATCTGTAGTCGTTGGCTTTTACACGCCTAAGAATAAATAGTCATTTTATTCATGTTCTTTTTCGAAAGTATTTATTCTAACGATTCAATTTTTTGTCAAAACATGTAATGTTAGATGAAACCCGTTAGTCACATCTAATCAATTACTGACCTGGTATGTATCACATCATCTAAAATAATGATTTCGTATGTGTCACGTCATCCAAAACGATGATGTGACATATATTATATCAATAATTGATCACATGTGAAAATATCACATCAATAATATATATTAATTATTAGTCAACTAACGATTTTCATCAAATATAATATATTTTGACCAAAAATTGAAACTTTAGGGTAAAATACTAAAAAAAAAGCATATGGATAAAGTGACCATTTATAAAAAGATTAAGGGTAATTTTGTTATTATACCTTTATATATATATATATATATATATATATATATATTTATTTCAAAATTTAATTTTTATATTATATCTTTATGAAATTAAGCTTTTATATTGTTCAATCTATTAAATAATTTAAATGGTAAAAAATTATTTTGTTTAGAAGTACCAAGTAATGTCTAAGAGGATATTGACGCTATGTTGGGATGATTCCCAAAATGCCAACCAGTTTCAACCACCAAATAAGCCCACGGAGACAACAAACTACTTTAACACTCAATATTAGAATCAAGTAAAATTAAATCCGATAATAGAACGAGTACTAGAATGAATCGGGTAATTTTTTTAATGAATCGAGTTATCAAATTCTAATCATATCATATTAGTTTAATTTAGTATTTTAAAATGTATTTGAATTCAAATCAAATATATTAGTTGAGTTTTATATTATAAACTAAAAGCAACACAAGAACAAGAACATAAATAAATTTATCCATTGATAAAATAGTGAAATTTACAATTAACTTAATTAAAGGAGTACTTGTTTTCAAATCAATTACTTTGATAAAGAAGTACGAAAATTATTAGGGTTTATGCCTTTTTCTCTCCGCCGACTTGGCTGTCCTTATGGCTTTGCCTTTATTTTCTGTTATTGTTCTATTGATTCAAAGGAAGACAACACAAAAGAAATCATCAAACTTTCAGAGGAAAGCATGAGAGACTTGGAAAAATCCATGGACGAATTAAATCCAAGGGACGAAGAGGATGAGGCAATCGTGATAGTTCAACAAACAGAAGAATGAGGTATATTGTTCGATAATTGTTTAGTTGGTTTTTTCCTAACGTCCAACTTGATTAATGTTCAAGCCATGAAATCTATGATGAAAAACGAATGACGCCCTATTGGAGGCATATCAATTACAGAATTAGGGGAAGGACGATATCTTTTCAGACTCTACAATGCGACTGATGCAGATAGGATTAAAAACGAGAGATCATGGTACTTCAACTCACACATACTGGTCTTCCATAGGTTACAGATTGGAGAAGACCCAATGACGGTCCCCCTACACTCGTCAATTTCTGGGTGCACATAAAATGACCTACCAGTAGGATTCATATCTGAACAAATAGCAAGTTAACTTAGAAATTTTATATGAAGATTTTTACTTTATGATTCGGAGGCAGTGGCACTCGCCTACGAAGAGGGAAAGAGTTTGCATAGATGTTCGACTCGCATTGAAAAGAAGGAAAAAGCTAGCTCTATCAAACGGAAAATTCATATATGCTTCTTTACAGTATGAAAAAACTAAAACTATTTTGTTACTTATGCGACAAACTAGGCCATGGAGAGGGTTTCTGCCCCATGAGACTAATACAAAAAGATCTACAACCTACATGGGATGCCTCGCTGAAAGCATCACCTAAACAAAAAAACGTTTCAAGCAAGCCCTTGGCTAAGGGAAGATGAGTCAAATATGTCAAAACATTTAAATTCTCATACAAATACCATGAACAACCTCAAAACTAGCACAAGGAGAATGGAGGAGAACATGGGTTAATCATCTGGTTAAGCAATTGTACCCAAGAAATATCACATGGATAACTCACGATCATTCCTCAGTCATAATGATGACGAGAGCCGAAGAAGACAATCATCCAATAGAGAAGGGAGAGACGATAAAAATATAACGAAACAAGCCAACCGGACATAATGAAATTCTTAAGCTGGAACGTTTGAGGTTTGGGTAGACCTCAGATGGTGGATCGTCTCCGTCATATGTTGAGAGACATTAACCCATATGTAGTTTTTTTTCATTGAAACAAAACCACAAGGAACGTGTATGTAACCGTTCAAAGATCGTTGAGATTCACAAGTGGAATTGAAGTTGAATCACACGGAAGCAATGGAGGATTATGTCTCGCGTGGCGAGATTCAGATAATATTACACTCTGTTCATATTCTAGTTAACATATAGACACATATATCATCGATGCAAACACAAACTCAAGCTGGAGATTCATGGGATTTTACGAAACTCCCGAAGAAAACAGAAGATGAGAGTCTTAGAACCTCATAAAGTCAAAAAAATGTGTGCCACCACCTAAATGGATTTCAACAAAGGGGCACCAAATTCGACGCTCAATTTTGTTGAAAATGATAATAGGGATAATTGCAATTTAGTCCCTGCACTTTAGGATATTTTCAAAGATTAGTTCTTAAGCTTCAACTATAAATACTCTTACCCATTTAGTTTCAAAATCATCCCAAATCATTTCTTTATCCCAATACTAAAGAGTTTAGAGAGTTTTCTTGTGAGTTATGAGTGTTTTGTAAACACCTGTAATTTTTCTCTCTTTAGTAAAATATCTGCAGCATTTCGGAGACGTAGGCATAATTGGCTGAACTCCGTTATCAATTTCGGGTATTATTTTTCCGCTTTTATTTTTGCATTCTCGCTAATCTTGGAAATTACTCATTTATTTCCTAACTGGTATCAAGAGCTTTTGGTGGTTAATTTTGCCGGTTTTTGTGCGGGTTACTATTCACATGAATAGTAAACTTTGGTCGGCGATACGAGCTTGTCGATGGAGGTGTTCTAATACACGGTGGTTCGCAAGAATTGCCAGAAACGATCCAAAAGAAGCCAATTCGAGTAGGAGCGATGGTTGCAGACAAAGGGAAGGTGAAAGTTGAGAAGTTCGACGGTGCGAACTTTGGCTTTTGGAATATGCAGATTGAAGATTTCCTATACCAGAAAAATCTATATCAACCTCTCTCAGGAAAGCAACCAGAGGGCATGAAGAATGAAGACTGAGCTCTTCTCGACAGACAAGCCCTCGGAGTTATCCGACTGACGTTATCCCGCAATGTTGCTTTCAACATAGTAAAGGAAATGACCACGGCGAGTCTTATGACGGCTCTCTCCAGTACGTATGAGAAGCCATCAGCCTCAAACAAAGTTCACTTGATAAGGCAATTATTCAATTTGAGGATGGCGAAAGGGGCATTAGTGGCTCAACACCTAAATGAACTCAACACAATCACAACCCAGTTGAGTTCCGTGGAAATTGAATTCGATGATGAAGTTCGAGCTTTAATTCTCTTATCATCTCTACTAGACAGTTGGAATGTTATTGTTACAACAGTCAACAGCTCGTCGGGAAACAATAAATTGAAATTCGATGATGTTCGGGATCTGGTATTGAGTGAAGAAATTCGACGGAGAGAATCGGGTGAAGCATCAAGCTCCTCAGCCTTACACACGGAGTTTAGAGGTAGAACTTCAGAAAGAAATTCAAATCGTAGCAGATCGAAATCCAGAAAAGGAAAATCAAGAACGAGAAAGAAAGATTTTAACTGTTATAATTGTGGCAAGAATGGTCACTTTAAAAGAGATTGTCGAGCACTGAAGAAATATACATGCGCACAGGAATCTGCCATGACAGATGAGACAAGTGATGCCATGATTCTAAGCGTTAACAGTCTGGTTGAATCATGGATCTTGGATTCAGGAGCATCTTTCCACTCCACCCCATGCCAAGAAATCATAGAGAACTATTTCAGTGGTGATTTTGAGAAGGTTCATATAACTGATGATGAAACCTTGAAGATCATTGAAAAAAGAGACATCCGATTAAAGTTGTCAAACCAGACCACCTGGAAACTTAAAGGAGTGAGACATATTTCTGGCCTCAAAAGAAATTTAATTTCTGTAGAACAGCTTGATGGAGAAGGATATAGTACAACCTTTGCAGGATGTGAATGGAATATTACCAAAGGAGCACTCGTCATTGCTCGTGGTAAGAAGACTGGTGCTCTCTATGTAATCTCAAATTTAGAGAATATCATTGCAGTAGCAGATGATGATGGAAAATCAAACCTATGACACCAAAGGCTTAGCCATATGAGCGAGAAAGGGATGAAGACACTTTTGTTAAAAGGGAAGCTGTCGGATCTAAATAATATAGATGTTGGACTATGTGAGGATTACATCTTTGGCAAACAAAAGAAAGTTAATTTTGCAAGGATTGGCAAGACACCCAAGGCTGAAAAGTTATAGTTGGTTCATAATGATGTATGGGGACCATCTCCAGTTCCATCTCTTACATGCTCACTATATTATGTCACATTCATCGATGATTCTACAAGGAATATGTGGGTTTATTTTCTGAAGAAGAAATCAGAAGTCTTTAATACCTTCAAAAAATGGAAGGTCATGGTGGAAAATGAGACTGGTTTGAAAGTCAAGCTGTTGAGGTCTGATAGTGGATGAGAGTATAGAAATAGTAGATTCAAAGATTTCTGCGCAAACA